CTCTTCTCTGAACTTTGACTGGAGCTGTCAACTTTGGATTGATTGCAACTTATAAGAGGATTTTCCTCTAATGAACCAGTTTTATCCTACAAATAAAACGAGGCCTAATATATCTCTGTATCTGGCACGGCACCTAAGAAACAAGAATGCGTATCCTCAAAGTCCCACAAAAGACGCAGCATGTTCCTTAAGACTGCTGATTTCTGTTGACAAACCCCCTCAGGACGTACCCTCGTCCAAGAACAACTGCCAAACAGGATAATGTAAATGGAAAGGCCAGGTCAGCCCACAGCCACAGTGAAGGTAAACCTCACACGCTATTTTTTACAAGGCACATGATTTGATGACAAATTAGCAGTGGCACCTTAGCAAGCATTAAAGAACAATAACACAGGATGTGGCGTTTTCCTCCGCTACGCTGGAAAACAAGAGCAATTACTCTGGCCTCAAGCTGTGCAGGTGCGGACTGCATTATTCAAAGACGAAACAAAGGCTTTATAACTTGGTAGGAACTAGCCAAATATATGAGCAATTGTTTTACTTTACTTATTGAAAATATCTTTTCCTGTAAAGGTCCCGTTCGTACAAAAAATGTGCTTCTATCTCACCCAAGCTTAATCATTCTGATTTATGGGAACGTTAAATTGATCAAGCATTTATATAACAACAACAGAACAAAATCTCACTCAAGCTCATTTATTCTGATTTTGTGGGTAAATTAAATTGATCAAAAGTAACAAAGACATCTATAATGTCAAAGCATATTTTCAATAACGTAAATATTATTGTCAAATTCTGTAATTGTAGCAGACGCGGTAATTACTCTTGAATAAATGCTGCTGCTATATTGCTGTTAGCTCACACATAGTCCTTAAGTTGGCAAAAAGTATAAAATAAAAGTCTTATTTTTACCATAATATCAGATTATATCATGTTTCCACAAAAGCAATAATTAGACCTATTTTTAACAAATAAATTTTCATATCAGTATATTAAAATGATTTCTGAAAAATGATGGGTCAATAAGGAATAATGTAGAGGGAAAATTGCTACCACATTGGAGACAGAATCATGGAATACTTCAATTAAAAAAAAAAAAAAAAACAGAATTTACTGTATAAATGCAACATTAAAGCCTTAACATTAAAACAAGTTTCACAGATTAGAAAAAATAAATAAATAAATAAAAAATAGTGCTAGAAAATGCAATTGGATACATTATAAAAATGCAAAGCCACCATAATTACAATAAACATTATCGCTCTAATGTCTATCAGACCTTCAAACTGTTCTGACCTAGGTTGCTATATCTTTTCTGACTGATCTGACTTTCGGTATTCCAAAAACTATTATGAAAAAAAATAACAGTATTTTTATTACGAATAAGTCCCACTGACTTAACATTGTATTAAACTTTCTGAGCTTATAACTTTGCCTCAGACTGTTCCACAGACTTAAGAGTGGCCTCATTTACTTTGTCTAGCCAGCAGCCAATCCCTGATAACCTTTTAAATTCCTAGACAATCCCTAGCAACCAATTCTAACAACATGTCAACTCATACTTGAAACAATGCTACTAACATGCTAATATATGCTAGAAACATGCTAGCAACATGCTAATTTGCACTAGAAGCATGTTAACAACATACTAATGAATGTTAGAAACATGCTAACAGCATGCTAATTCATATAAGAAACATGTGCAACAATCATGAAGCAACATGCTAATCAATGTTAGAAGTATGCTAATAATATGCTAAATTATATAAGAATTAGGATATTTTATACTACAGCTTGGCTAACAACTTTAATATCAAGTTGTAGTTATAAAACATTAAACTACTGAGCTGCATTGTGTTAATATTATAAATTTAAAAATTCAGAGTACAAACAATTAACATAAGGGGAAATGGATTCAAATGTTTTACAATATACAAATTTTCCCAATTTTTAACCGTGTTATTTTAGGAAGCGAATAAAAAACAAAAATACATAAAAATCTTTACCAAACCTAAACTTTTGATAGCATATAAATATCAGTATTTTTATTTAATATTTGAAGAAAATATAAAATCTCACGCAAAAAAGTGGCTTATTATGTTCTCTATGTTAGCATGCAAACTATATACACATTTAGTACAAACCTTGAAAACCTCACAACAGACATTTAAAGTGCTGCTACAGCAGTGCTCCATTGCCTTCTAGAAACTTCCACACAATCTGGCTTCAAATGGCCTGCTGTGAGCAATGCTCCCGTTATTATGCATAATCCACAGGTTTATTGTGAGGCCTTGTAAAGAGATTAAAGGACAAACTTTTCTGGAGTCTACTTTTAATGAACAGATGGCGGCTTTAATAAATACTTGTAGTAGAGAAGAAATGTTGGATGCTTAGAACTTTGTTACACAACCACAAAATTGCTAATCAAACGGCTTGAACTTTTGAATGAGAAATGTGGATCCATGAGACCAAGTGATACAATAAATCACCACACAATCGCTCGGGTTTTTGAGGACAGTCTGCTCTAGGAAGATTCTCGGCAGTGCCATATTTCATGATTATTGATTAAACTGTACTCCACGGCATATTCAATGAGTTGAAAATGTTCTTATATCTATCTTCTGCATAGGTTTTTCAATAAATTTTTAGAGTCGATTCAAATATACACCATTTTTTCAGGTGCAAGTTCTGACACAGTAATGACTTAACAGAACCTGAACCTTCCAAGTCAATGTGCATTCATACTAGTGTTGTCAAGATACTGGACTTTCTCATTTCAATACATTACCATAACGTTTGATATCTCAATAATATTTTCAGTACCACTGGGATATAATTCAAACATTACTGCTTCAAAAGGATTGGAAAATAGCACACAAAAATAAAGTTCTTTTTCTGATCTTCAAAAGCTTTAGTCCACATATAAAAACTGAATGAAAAAGAACATTATTGGATTTTTTAAAAGGGTTTTTTTTTATTGAACAGTTTATAACTATCAGTTACACATTTTTATTATTATCATTATTGTTACTATGTATCATTATCATTATTGTTTAATTAATATTTACATTTAATTTTTTATTCAAACTTTGGTTTTGTTTTAATTAAAACTTCACATTTGAATTGTATTTTGGGGAGTTTATTTCTTATTAGACCAACTAGTTTTTCATGATTCTGTGATTGCCGAATCCTACTCAAAATCAACAAAAAAAATTGCAATTTGCATCATGCAAAACTCTAAATCAAACGCAAAATAAATGACAAAAAAATGTAAATAATCTCATAAAACATCTAATTCCAAACCATATAATCAAACCATTTTTATTTCAGCTAGCAATTAATTGTTTTACATGTCTTCTAGACAATGCATTCACAGTGCATAAAAATTACATCTCATCTGTGCCCTCCCAATCATTATATTATTGGAAACAGGGGGAAGCATACGTGGTTGAAGCACAAGTGATTTACATGTGAAGTCAATGCAAAGATGGGATTAGACATCCTGTGGCATAAATTGGGCGTTTTGTGCGCATGACGCACTTCAGACTGCAAAACAAAGTGGAAGCAAACGTCTAACAAACGAAACAATGGAACAAACAGAAAAGCAAGCAGCTTAAAATGATGGAGATTGGTTCAAGGATGATGGCCGCAGGGCATGACCGAATTGAAGGACATTATTTTTGCTTTACATGTATGGCTGGTATTATGATCTGCGTCAAATCTATAAATTATTTTGTTTAACTCTTTCCCTGCAGTTAACGAGAGAAAACGCTTCATTGTCATTGACGAGTTTTACGACAATAGGTGTGTTTTAGGTGTATTATCGTAGGGGAAGCACTAGCTCTCTCACTCGCACACACGCACGCACGCACACACATTTCTAGTAATTCCGTAATTTCCACCACAAAATTTGTCATTTTTAAAATAAATAAATAAAATAAAAATAAATTTTAAAAAAAAAATCACAAAAAACGTTTGTCTAATGCATTTGTCTAATGTTTTTGGGTGTGGAGGTCAATTGTCCATACACTGTAAAAAATATAATTTGATTAACAATATATTCACAAATGTTTTTGTTTATTTATGGCTTATTTAAATATATCTATATGTGTACAGTTGTGAATTGCAATGTAGGACCTTGAGTTCTGCTTTGTCAACTTTTGATGTTGAAAATTTAACTCTACAGTTTAACAAAGTGATTTTTTCATGACATTTTAGTAGTTTGAAATAAAATATATAGTATTAGATATAACATATAAACAAATAAGTCCATAATACCACATAATACAACCCAGACAATGTATCACTTACACTATTAAAATGTTAATAAGTATTTTTTTTCTAACTTTTCAAGGTTAAAAGTTGTTTAATTAAGGATCAAGGTCCTATAATGGAATTCAAATGCATAAATAAACTGGGGAAAATAAAAACATGAATTACATAGTACAGATACAATATATATAAAATGCCCAATGTAAAGTTGCCTTTTTGAGAAGATAATTAGGATTAGTGTTTAAGCATTTCAATAGTGTAAACAAAATGTTCAGTAACATTTTAAACATTATATTTTAGTCCCTCGCTCATGGAAAACTGTACAGAACAAAACAATAAATGTAAATATCAAGTTTATCACTATAAACAATATTTATAAATGCTAAGACTAAAGTACACATTTACAGAGAAATTTTAACTATAGCTGCAGAGGGCTGAATTCATTTAACTTGCACTCTACATCAAGCATTGGCATCTGCCACTGAAAAAAAGTTATCCAATGGATACTGGCCCAGCTGACCTGCTGGGTAAAATGGTGTGAGAGGATTTGTCTGTTTAATTAAGCTCTGCGATTAGATCACTGGGTGGGAATGTAATCCCTCAGAAGACGCAGTGAGAGTCTGCATCAATGATTTTTCAAAGACACTCATGCATATAGATCAAACAGACTATGATAGACTTTTTAAAAATAAACGTCTGAGCAGGGGAGGGGTTGCATTCATATTTACCAGGCTGCCCAGTTTGGAGGATGAAGAGCTAGTTCTCTGCTTGGATAAAGTGTTGGCATCCGTGCAGTGAGGATCCCTGAGATTGAGGTGAAGTCTGGGTCCTCCTGCACCCTCAGAGGCCGAGCGTAAACGTCTCTCCAAACGCATCACCTCATGATATGGGCTCACGCTACTGCACATGGACACTGAGGAGGATATAAAACACAAATTAAAGACAAAAAGCTGCTGGTTAATAAGTCAATAGTAATGAAGCAGTTCTAAAAAAAAAGCGTAAAACTATGACAATACTTCATTATTTACTATAACTTGAGATAAGATCTGCGTTTTAGCATAGTTTTAAATTCATGATTAACTTTTATTATCTTTATGAATAAAATATTTTAATAATATATCAAAATATACATGAAGTCTATATATTAGGGATGGACCAATATGGATTTTTTGGCCGATACGATAACTCTTAAGATTTGGAGGCCGATAACCGATATATTACTCAATAAATATAAATATTTCAAAATAATTTTATATATATATAAATATATAAATATATTATATATATATATATATATATATATATATATATATATATATATATATATATATATATATATATATATATATATATATATATATATATATATAGGAGTGAACAACTGATTTTATAAAAAAAAAAATTAAAAAAAAATTTTAAATAAAAGTTTTAACTGATCTTATGAACCTGCTCAAAGCAAAAGCAAAACAAAAAAAATGTGAAAACTTTAAAAATAGCAAGGTGATTATATAGATGGGCAGTTCTGTACAATTACAGTCTAATGGCTTACTGCCGTTTAACAAATGTATCACAGAAATATTACGCAGTTTTCTGAACTAACTGTTACTTGTACATTGGTATTGGCAGTGTACAATTAAGCTTTGCCATCACAGTAACCAATCAATTATTACAATATAATAAAGAAAAAAGAACTAGTATATTCAAATTCTAATACTAAACAGCAAAACGGTCTATCTTGTACTTTTGATTAAATGTTTTTGGCTTTGATGAAAATGGTTTTATAATAATAAAAACAACAAAATTATTAAAATAGGTAATGTATTTAAGATATACTTTTAAATACAAAAATACTAAAAACTATATTTATTTTATAAATTACTACAAAGTGTTATAGTACATGCATATTAGGGCTGCAAGATATACATTGCGATATGAAACATATTTCACCAGATAAAAAACTCTTTTTGAGAAGAATTCCATATTTCAAGGTCATTTGTATAGGGCATTGCATACACGCATAAATTATTCAAATTAACGTTAAACTAGATTTTTAGGGGGGAACATGCAAATGAGAGAAAAAAAAAACTGCTTAATATTTGTTTAGTCTTAATGGCAGTTGAACTCAAATATTGAAAAATATTTGTTAAAGCTACAAATGCTTGTCCCTGTATGCTTCAACCCCCCCTTATATGATTAACAGGAAGAGAAAACACACCTAAAAAAATGCAATTAATAAACTTTGCTAATAATCTTCAAGCTCCTGGTCAATAATAAGCCATGCTTGACATTGCAGATCCAATGATGTGATTATTGCAAATGCTTACATTGCGATATCGATGCTGAAACAATATATTCTGCAGCCCTAATGCATATGAATATAGTTTTAAACATTTTGTAAATGATTGCCAATTCCACAGGTAAAAATATGTTTTGTTTTTTTGATAGTTTTTATATATATATATATATATATATATATATATATATATATATATATATATATATATATATATGTGTATGTATTTTTATTTATTTGTTTGTTTTAATGCCATATAAGCAGCATTGACTATATTCAAGCTAACATTAGGAATAAATATTTAAAGTATCAACAAATGTCTTTTGTTGCATGGAGCAAAATCCTCCAGAAGACACCTTTCCCTTAAAAGATGATATCATTTAGAGATTTAAATACTAATAAAATATGTTTTATAGTCAAAATATTATTATACTCAATACAAATAGATTTCTCTTCCCTTTCAATAAATATAAGTGTGTGCCTACACTCTCAGAAATAATGGTACGTAAGCTGTGACTGGGGTGGTACTTTTTTCAAAGGTGCACATTTATACCTGAAGGTTCCATATTGGTACCTTAAAAAGTATATATTAGTACCTAAATATTTTAAGAGAAAAAATGTTGTACTTTTTAGGTACTTATATGTGCCCTTGAGGTATTAATATGGACCTTTTGGGTACAAATTTGTACCTTTTGAAAAGGTACCACCCAGTGACAACTAACATAGAGTGTAGTATCTTATTGTATGTATAGAAAGCTCTCAGTGGACTATAATGTAGGCTGTTGAACACAATCTGAAGAATGTAAAACATTTGTAAACAAACATATTAAACACACAAAGAAGTGTTAATCCTGGGGCACAAACTACTTCTCAACCACTCCAGGAGATCTGAATTAAATGAATGGTTTAATCATTTAGAACTAGTCATTAAATGATTAAATGCTAAATGACATCAACAGATGAAAGAGACCAACACAGTGTTGACAGTTTTCTTCATTACAATGCTATAATCATAAATGCTTGAAAACCTGAACCACGTTGATACAAATATCCAAAATATTGCAAAGAAAACCCCTGATACAGTGACAAGCCCAACAAGCACTACTAAACAATCTAATTTATTACAGCAAATATATTCACAAAAAAGTTTCTGTAGTGCAAAAACTAGTTACTGTACAAACAGGCTTGACTATATACAGACATCTTTCCTCCGATCTAAATAAATATGCATGACTTAAAAACATCCTAATAATCTTAAAAGGAGTTTAATCATTCACATGAATATTAATAAACCTCTCCAAGCCTGTATTTGAACCCACTGAGTGTAAAGTTCACTCTCTCTTGCAAGACGATCTATAGTAAAGCCAATATCAGGTCACCAGTGGAGGAAATTCAATATAGAGGAGCTGGTTAGTTTCCCATAACGCTCTAAGCCACAGGCACTTCGGAGTGAAAGCTTTTGCAATGTAAAAGTATCCTCTACTGAAGGGAAAATCATAGGTTATAAGAAAAATGCAGACGAGCTGGCGCATAAAAGCATCGTTTGTAAAAGCAGGGTTTTTTTTCCAGTTGTTGTTAGCGTGTGCAAGAATACTTTACTTTACAATAGTTCTCAGAGCAGTGGAGACCAGTTTTGTATTTTTTAGGCAACATATAATGAAAAGCTTGTATAAATGAGGGCTAAAATGCTATTTTAACTAAAATGATGAACTATGTGACAGATTTGAAAAAAGTAATAAATAATTTGGAGCAGTAGTGACTGACTTCTTAATTCACATATCAAATGGATTTCTGGAAAACTTCATGCTGATCCGTTAATAGATTATGTGTTTTCTTAAAAAGAAAGAAAGAAAGAAAGAAAGATAGATAGAAAGATATTTGATTTTCAAATATTACAAAAAAATGTAATACACTATCGTAACAATTAACTCACAAAAAAGAGAAAAAAATAAGAAAAAAAGAAAATGAAAAAGTTAAACAAAAATGGGAGCAAAAAACAAATTTTCTAAAAAAAACGGCTTTGAAAAAATAAAAATGAACAAGAATTCTTGATTTGACAGAATTAAAAAAAAACTGCACACAAGTTGTAACTCATTTACCCTTCAATGTTTTGCCTTCTCTCAATAAAATGTTATCTTATCTAAAATGATTTAACCACGTGATAGATTTTCAAGAAGTAATAAATAATTTGTAGCAGTAGACTTTTTAATTTGCATATCAAGTGGCTTTCTAAAACTTCTTGCTGAATTAATCCAGTCAAGCAAGAAATCTGCTCAAGATCCAACTCATAATCATTACTTGAAAAGAAGGAAGGAAGGAAGGAAGGAAGGAAGGAAGGAAGGAAGGAAGGAATGAAGGAAATACTGGAGCACATTCTCCATATTCATTAATTGATTCTCTTTATTTCAAATACTGAATTTGAATTAAAAAGAAAATGTGGGCTTTAAATAACATCATCAGTCCAGGTTAGCAGACATACTTTATCCACGATACCTGTATGCTTTAACTGCATAATTCATTTATTTATGCAAGTAGCCACGTAATATGGCAAAGTGACAGTTATCTGCAAATGTTCCTACTCATGATGGACAAACCAATATCTTTTAGTTTGGTTGTTATTTTTACAACTAAATAAAAACACAGGTAATACATATCTGGGCAACTATAGCAGAACCTTTTTCATATACACAACAAGTTAAAAGTTTGGGGTCAGTATGATTTTGAAATGTTTTAAAATAAACTTCTCCTGCTCACCAAGGCTGCATTTATTTTTTCAAAAATACAGTACAAATTGTAAAATTGTGCAATGTTATTGCACTAAAAAATAACTGTTTAAAAGTAAAGTAGTTTATCATTTAATTTAATCATTTATTACAGTGATTTTAATGATGAATTTTCAGCTTCAGTCACACGATCCTTCAGTAATGCCTCTAATATAAATTATTATTGTTGTTTTTTTATATTGTTATTATTATTTTTGTTATTATTATTATTGCTGCTGTTGTTGTTGTTGTTGTTATTATTCATATTAATGGTAATAGTAATAAAAGCAATAATGAATGGAGTAAAAATTTCATTTGAAAATAAATACAATAAGAGAGCAGTTGTTCACATTTTTTTATAAATATTGAATAATTTATTATTCTTTTTTTTTACATTTAATATATGCAGCCTTGATGACAAGAATGATTTTCTTTAATAAAACAAACAAAAAAAAATGTTTGATCGATAGTGAGCGTGTGAGTATACATATTTTAATTTTGTTTTTATTTATTTAAAAATTTTATTTTTTTACATTTTCTGGAGTTGACAGCTCACCCACACTCTTAGCCTAGTAGAATATTAAAGATTTCCTCACATCATCACTTTATAATCAAGGCAGAAACACCAAATCATCTAGGACGCTACGAGGTCATAGCAGCTACTGTAGATATGAAATCTTGTAGCTTACAGGAACTGGTTAAAAACTGATTAAAGTGTTTCTGCTAAGGAACAAGTATGCAAACAATTTCCCTTTAAATGTGTTCCTCTTAAAACAGAAAACAGCCTCTACGGTAATATTCAAAATAGAAAAACAAAACACATTACCTGTGTGCGGCTTTCTCAGGTGACTTGGTCTGGTCTCCAGTTTGCTCAAGCCTGATAATCTTCCTGTTTGCTGAATAAGTACAGAATTTCTGGACCTTCTCTCACGGGGATCTGGATTGGAGCTGCTGTCCTCACTGAGTTCTGGAGCTTGATCAATCTCACTGGCCTCTGACTGCTCTGGATTAGGATTCAGCTCTTTCACCATCTGCAGTGTGACTGGCTCTGTATGGGCAGTGGTGCTCTCGCACTGTGTGTTGGCTGTGTGGCTGGTATCTGGCAGTAGGGGCTTTTCCGAGGTGCCCTCGGCTGGAGTGAAGGACACCTGCGAGGTAGAAACAGCTTGGCTGGAGGTTTCTGGAGGAGCAGCAGGACTGGGAGCCGGCAAAGCATCCACTTCCGAGACGGAGTCTTCTGTGACATGGACGAAATCAGATGGTGTGATTGCAGTGGTGCGGTCTTCTGAGATCATAGGTGACTGTAGGGAACTCTCCGCCAGTTCTCCAGGCCAGGAACCTGGGGTACCAGTTTTAGGAGGTTCTTCCACCCCGTCCTGACCTTTAACCTGGTCTGGGATATTAGCAGAGTTCTTGGGTAACCGCTGATGAGCGGAGAAGGACTTGGGCAGCAGGTGCTTCTTATGTTTGGAAGATCTCTTGCTGCTCACGTCATCAAGAAACCCCGAATCATCTCCCTCATTCGTACCTGAGCTGATGCAGTTAATAAACACGCTGTTTCTGTTGGCAGAAGCTTTCTCAAGGTCTTCCGTATGAGATCGGGTGATCTTCTTTTTGTGTCCACCAAATCCAAATGAATGGCGAGTCTTTGAGATGCAACCATCTTGAAAAGTGGGATCAGTCCCCTGGGTGCGATTGTCCAGGTTGAGCTGGATTGGGTCACTGTTCCTCTTGCTGTGGAAGCTGAGGGATGGTGTGCGGAAAAGGCTGCGGCGCTTGCTCGTGCTGCTGGAGCTGGAGTTCGTGCTGGAGGGGGAAGAAGTGTGGACGCCATTGCCAACACCGCCAGAAGAGGGTGAGGAAGGGAGGGAGTCCTGCCTCTTTCGGGCGCTGCGCCTGAAGATAGGAAGCCTGGAAACCAGGGTGGAGCGACGGGTCCCTGATTCACCCATGAAGATTGAGCACCAGATCAGACACTCTGTAAAGAAGGGGGAAAAACACTCAACATTAGAATGATAAACAGACACATACAGGAACGGAACTTCACGCCAAATTGATTCAGTTTTTTGCAGTTTGGGATTTTCTACAAGGCAGTCACTGTGGCCAAATTTCCTTTACATTACAAGAAATCTGAAAGAAAACTAAACTATTAGAAACACTATGAAACAATTCACATGATGTTCAGTGCTGCTCTGCCAGTCATGTGCGCAGTACACTTCACAAGCAAACCCACATGATAGTGGTCATTTGGAGAAAAATACCACAATTTACACAGCTATGCAGTTGTCTATAAACCATTTACTACATATATATTACATTAACTTACATTATTGGTAAGTTTTTCTGTTTGTATTAAGTGTCGGAACCAGGACTTCAGATATGACATAGATTAAAATCCAATACCCGAGTGCAAATGCACAGGAGCATACAGTACATTCTTAGTGTTCATAGTTGCCTTGTTTCACAATCCTGTCTAATTCAAAAATGTAAAATGCAGCAAGCAACTTTGAATATTTGGTTTTAAACTATCCTGGACTATACTCAGCTTGCCACTACTCCATACTGATGCCATTCTCTCTGTGCAATGCATGAAAACTGCCTGAACTCTCTTTAAGTTAATACAAATCCTAGTGCACACAAACTTATCGGGATACTGCATTGTTTTGAAATACTGTATGTATGTAAATTAAGCTGTAAGCTGATTAAAAAAAAAAAATCAAGTTTCGATTCAAATTTGATTGTTTTTCAAATTGATGGATCTTAAAAAATATTTTTAATATTAAAATAAATATCAGATTTTGCAACCAAGCGTTCAGTATACACTGTTCATTGCATTAAATAATATGACATTGTATAATATTCACTTTGCACTCGGTGATACGGTATATGTTTAAATGAAAGATAAAATACTACAACAGCTACAAATGTAGCATAAAATGAGTTTCAGAAAAAAAACAGTCCAATTATCAAAAAAGGAGGTCCGAAAAAAAGCTCAATCACAGTAATTTTTGAGTTTTTTATGTTGTAAAACTGTAAACCATCTAAATTATATATACAAGTTTAATTTAAAAAAAGGGGGCTATAAAACCTCTGCAATCTGCAATGTCAGGTAAGCAAAAAAGGTAAGATTTAGACTCACAAGGGTAAAAAAAATCCAGGAGGCTTGCATTACAGTTTGCTGAGCACAATTAATTACAGCACATTAAGCAAACTATGCTGACCTACTGCCAATATAGTGCTATGCTGAAAAAAAAATCTGTGAATCAGTAAATGTAATATGAAGGTGTTCCCTCCAACAAATTTGCAAAACATGTACTGTACACACCCCATAACACTGTTGTGACAGTTCAAGATACACCCTTGACTTAGCTTGACTGACTGGGGATGTTTTATACGTAATGACAAACAATATTACATTTACCCAAATTATGATGATAATAATAATAATGTATAAACTTGTTTTCTTACAAGGGCATACAACCTACAGTAATTAATAGTTCCTGAGACAGGTGCATCACAATTACATACTGCAAAGGGCATTTGGAGGTTTACACTAACAAACAGAAAAACAGGTTTAGTCATTTACTTGCATTAAATCTGAGGAATTATTTCAAGCAATTAAGATATTTTAAAGACTTATTACGTGTGATAACCAATGAGTCAAAACAAAAAGGACCAATAACCTATAAAATGATGTGAGCTGCCTCTCCAAACAGCATGTTTTGGGCATCAACAAGCGCGTGAATCATATTTAGGAGCCCAAGAAATGCTGCCTTTTCAGGAAACTAGCTATGTTTTGGGACGTAGCCATTGCGAAATAATGACCTTATTTTGTATATCGCCATCATATCATTAACAATGATGGACTCAAGGCTGAATAACCAATAAAACAGCGACATAGAGCAGCCGCCTGCTATAAGCGCTCTTCCCGCAGTCCATGAATCCGCACACAAACATTACCTTCACGCGAATCCTCTGTTCACAACTCGCTGATATTGCGCCTGCTGTCAGTTTGAGCCTGAAGCCAAAACACTCGTGGCATCACATCCGGCGAGTTTCACGTCAAAGTGCTAAATTGTCATGTCAGAATCGCGTCTCGCTCGCTGTGAATCCACCACAAGTGACGTGGAATGTGCTGCTCGCGCTTGGCTTCCGCGTTTCCGCCTCTGCGCGTGACGCAAGGTACCTGCGTGAGCGTCATTTAAAGACGGCGCACAGGTGCAGCAAAAGATGAGCTTGTTATATAAACCTGCTTGACATTATGTATGTTTTGTGTATATGAACAAATCAAAGTTTAGTTTATGAATAGCTGTCTTATTGTAGAATTGTGTAAAGACTACGTTTAAGGGTATAAATGCCATTAATACATGTAGGCAAAAGGCAATATGATTTTATTATTGTTACCTGTTATTCGTGAGCTATTTTGTAATCACCCGTAATAAGACAGTTGTATGTTTTATATTATGACTAAATATTTTATTGTGGTGTTATTATGCAATTACAATCCATTCATTATTCCTCTTGTGTCTTGTTGTGTGCATTGTAAACAGTGTGGATTCCATGTAATCTTGATTATGTCGGCTAATCAGATTCCATAAATACAGTAGCCCACTTGTGATTAGATTATAATTCCTTTAAAATAATCAGATTACAGTTACTTTTAATAGATTACTTGATTACAGTTTTATTCTCCCTGATTATTATCAATTTCTCTCTATCCTTCTCTGTCCTTTCCAAAAACAGTTGAATAGCTATTATAGCTTTTAATGTCCACAATTGAAATTCATCTTATCTGAATTTTGGGACAAAATTGCCTCTCAGACAACATGACAATTAAATATTAAGTTAGTGAACATTGCTGACAAAATATTTTACAAAATGTGATTGCTGTTTTAATTTTTGTTCTTTTTCATTTTTGTTTGACTTTTTGTTCATCAAACCATTTGACCTTATATATTAACTTCCTTGAGAAGTCTCCATCATATTTAAATTCAACACTTCTATGATGTAACAACACAATTTTTTATGTAGTACTCCAGATTGTTGTGAATAAGGTCAGGGTGGTTTGCAAAGGCTGTGGATAATGTTATTAATAGGCCTTCATAAGTTTGTACAAACCTAAGATTAGGCTTAAATGAATTCCTCATTGTATCATAAAGAGCTAGGTTTATTATTATTATTATTATTATTGTTATTATTATTATTATTATCATCATTATTATTATTTGTTTATTCTTAATTGTAGTTATTAATAATTAAGTAACTTATTATATTTTATTGTTTTACTTATTTATTTTATTTTATTTTATTCTGCTTGCATTATACAAATCGCCAAGGACCAGTGTTTCATCTAAAAATAATTTAACTGTTACACTGCATAAAAAGTCATCTTCATTTTGAATGGCTTCAGCTGAACTGTTTAACTAGTACAGAGAAAACAAATGGGTAATTCATTTTTTTTTTTATAAAACTTTGGAGAGGGGAGGGGGTGTAAACTAAAGGGATTAAAATTAGGGTAAAACTCCTTAATAAAAGAGCATAATATTGCCAATGTTACGCCTAACAATTTAGAGAACTTATGTTTATCTTTAAAACCCATAACTTTCGCCGCAGCCTTCTGCAATTCTTGTGATTTCCACGTGGTGTCTCTGTTTGTTTAGGGGGAAAGCATTTTCAAGTACAGCAGTCATTGCTGTGCAGTCTATGGAAAAAAAAGTAAAGTTGGAAAAAAACGAGAGAACAGCTAATGACATGATGTGATATTTTGATTATTCAGTTATCATAGAATATTTATGAGTTATAATTTTTTAAAAAGTTATAATTTTAAGAAAGTTGGTTTTGGTGAAAGTTAAAGTTATTCACACTTCATTTATTTGTATAGTATATGGAAAAAATAGGCGACGCAGTGCCTCAGCGGTTAGCGCTGTCGCCTCACAGCAAAAATATTGCTGGTTCGAGCCCCGGTTTGGTCAGTTGGCGTTTGTGGAGTTTGTATGTTCTGTGCTATAGGTGAATTGTGTATGCTAAAATTGACCGTATAGTGCATGTGTGTGAATGGATGTTTCCCAGTGATGGGTTTCAGCTGGAAGGGTATCTGCTGCGTAAACATATGCTGGATAAGTCTGTGTCGAGCCCAGATTAATAAAGGGACAAAGGTGAAAAGAAAATGAATCAATTAATTAATTGAATGACTGGGGAAAAGATACTATTAAACCTAAGAATTTAAAATGATGTAAAAGTCAAAAAAAAAGTCTCAGTGCTCTGGAATAGGTCTACAATAATGTTTAAATGGGTGTTTATGCTTAAGTTGTGTTAGGTCTTGTCCAAATTTTACAACGCTTTTTTTAAAAATGACATTAGCTATTTAGAACATGGATGCAGCTATATATATAGAAATACAGACGTCAGTAACTGAATTGTCCAAAAAACCAGACGTACAAATTAATGTGGTACATAAAAGGAATGAAAATTGTGCTCAGACTTTTATGAAGTGAATTATAGAAGAGATCTGAATGGAGTCTCTATAATGAGTGTTTTTGAATGTATGATCATCAGACTGAATCACTGCCTGTGTCACAGCAGCACTAATAAACTCAATCGGAATCAAGCCAGCTTGTTTTTGTCTAGGGCTGATTCATTATATTATGTGTTCTAGCTCTTCCCTCTCTGTCAGTTTTATAATCATATTTGGAGAAAATCCAAATAATGTTATTATTTTGCATGTTTTAATGTGTGTCTGATTATGCGTATGCTTCAAATGTTTACAAATATCCTGTATTACCTGGATGATAAACTCTATTGTAAGCAGGGAATGCATTTTAATTAGTATTAACTAAGATGGGGTTGACAAAACTGTCCATGTTGTCAATTTGTTAAAGGCAAAAATCATTTAATTGATGCGCAAAAATGCAGTCTGCAGTCTGCTGTTTAGACAATTGTACATAATCTGAAAGAAGCTATGATATTGTTTTTTTTACATTTAATAGATTTTTCTCCACAGCACAGTTTCCCAGCTAAAAAAGTATGTAAATGCAAAATTCTAGCCTAGTTCTGTTGAATTAGGCCATGGCACATGATTTGAGAATAGAAGTGACACTGATGATGAGAGGACGAGGTCCTGAGAGGTCATAATGACAATATGGTGAATGTAGTAAATGCAGGTTACATTCGTACATCATTCAAGCTGTTTAAATGTATTTTATTGATCGTAATAAGTAAAATAGATGTAAGTATATGAGAGTATATGAAGAGTTCAGATGCAAAACCCTCTAAATCCATCAGACATTTTCTATCAGGCTCCCAAAATTAGGTTCAGACGTTTCTGCTGGTAAATAAAATTACTTTTTTTTATTTTAATGTCTCTTTAGACAATTCTTTGGTTTTTAACAAGGCAGCTTTTCTTTTGCGTCAAACCAGCTATTTCCACTTGTGCTTTTTTATTTATTTTTTTTTTTTTTTGGCAAAAACCTCTAAATCCACCTATTTGGACACAACATTGTAATTAGTTGAAAAATCACAAGTTGTGGCGAATGTAAATACTACATTCATTTATTTTCTTTTAGGCTTAGTCTCTTTATTAATCTGGGCCCTGGGGTCACCACTGCAGAATGAACCACCAACTTATTCAGCATATGTTATATGCAGCAGATGCCCTTCCAGCTGTAACCCATCTCTGGGAAACACTACACACACATACACTACAGACAATTTAGCTTACCCAATTCACCTATCTTTGAACTTGTGCGGGAAACAGGATTACCCGGAAGTAACCCACGCGAATTCCACTCAGAAATGTCAACTGACCCAGGATCAAATTAGCGACCTACTTGCTGTGAAACGATCGTGCTGCCCACTGCGCCACTGTGACGTCTGTATGCTACATTCAAGCTTATTGAAATGCAATTTTAATAATCGCAAAGTAAGTAATTACAATAAAAGTAAGAGAGAGTATACGCATTTTCGACAATAAATGAGGGAATAAGTAGGCTTCATGATCATAATTTAAATTCTAATCCATTTCCAACCTTATTGAGTTATAGTGTATTCAGACCACAAGAGGGCGCTATGACTCAACAACTTTTCACGCTATTTAAAAATGATGAATCTATTGTTTATTGTGATTCTTTATTTATCTATTAGGTGGGCTTATATCGAACACGTAAATAGCATAGGTAGAATAATTTCTGATATTCCTGAAATAGGTAGAATAGTTTCCTGATACACTAAAATTTATTTTATAATGCATGTACAAAATTTGTGCACCAAAACGCAATAAAGTGTCACATAATTCTGATCTAGTATGGTTTCATTGACATCAAGTGACGATACGTCGGGATTTTACAGATTTTACAACCGCATAGCACAGACAGCGGTGGACTTTTTAGAGTTGTTTGCGCGATACATAGACGTAGCTACGTGTATAACTTACCATTTTCATAAAATGTTTTGTAGTTTGCATCTTTGATATTGTGGTAGCTTTTGCATCCTTTTTGAAGGCTAAAAGCTCCATCTGTTCAAAGGATGAACTTTTAAACTTTTCCGTTCTTCAGATCTGATTTAGATCTGATATGGATTTGGAATGAGATGAGGGTGAGTAAATATAAGTATACAGTAAATATCAAAATAATTTTTACAATCATTTTATTATCACACTAATCCCTTTAATTAGAGTCTTGTTTTTACTTTAAAGTGTGTCTAATATTCTCTCTAAATTGGCCTGAAATTGTAGTTTTCACAATCCGCTTTATTCATCTTCATAATCACCACACTCACCTTTTTTTCCTCCTCAACTTCTTCTTCATTTGTGCCTTTCATTTCTTGTTTTTAGTCTTCTCTGAGACTGCACACATTTCCATTATCATCCATTATGCTTTCAATATCTGACCTTAATAAAGGGCTCTCACTGCTAATAATTACCTGGTTAAGATCTGCCTTTAAATATCTTCTTTCTGTTGTTACTTTGACTAATGCTAGCTCTTTCTCTGAAATGGATTTGTCAGAGTATTAGCTTTCCAATGTCATGGTGATGTGCAGTTGCTATGAGACAGGTGTTGGTGCCGCTGCAGCAGATTTTTTTAAATGCACTGTTACAAAGGCAGGGATAAAGTGAGATTCAAGAAAGTGACCACTGAGGTTTCCCCTAAGGATTTGAACAAAGCTACAAAGTAAGGG